TATTTATTTCTTTATTTATTTGATACTAAGCGTCTCATTTACCAAATGTACTTATAATTATACATATTAACCAAATATATATACCTGCTCAATTCTTGATATATAAACTCATAGTACTTTTGTTATAAATTTTGCTATATCACAATCAAAAAAGAATTAGCTATACTAACACTGGTTTTAATACCAGTGGCGCTATCCGTGGGGAAACGACCAAGTTTGTAGTGAAAACAGTTCCCACTGTCAATACTTATTGCTGCGTTAAATAACTGTCCATAAAAATGATAAATTTGATATATTAAATGATACACTGCAGTGTTGTAAACCGAAGAATCGTATTAATCAAGCATTTATGAGAAATAAAGAACAATTGATTCAAGTGTATTGGTGCGGCAATCTTATAGAAACAGTGGGAACTACATATTTTCACTACAAACTTGGACGTTTTCCCTCGAATGGCGCTACTAGTATTAAAACCAGTATTAGTATAGTTCAATGATTAGCTTTATTAACATAAACATAACAATGTTCCTATTAACTATTACAGTATAGTTTTAGAATCAGATCTATGAGTGGATTGTGAGCTTTCGATCTTTCTTTTTTTAATAAAAAAAGCAAGAAAGTATACTTTTAAAAAAGATAGATCGAAAGCTCACAATCTACTCATAGATCTGATTGTAAAACTATACTGTAATAGTTAATAGGAACATTGTTATGTTTATGTTAATAAAGCTAATCATTGAACTATACTAATACTGGTTTTAATACTAGTAGCAATTTAGAATAAAAAAGGAGCTCAACACGAAGACTGAGGGTCTTCAGGTTTTAAGAAAAAGTATATATCTCTACAAATGATTATGTTTTTGTCTGTTATACAATAACATATATATATATAATAGACGAGTTACTATTCCTACATAAAGTTTATCAACATAATATAATAAAGAGTATGACAACCTCGACTTACAAATTAAAAAGTTTATTGTTATGTTATTCCTTATTGCGGTCAGTTTTAAGAAGTATAATAATTATAAATTAAGCCAATAAGAATAGAGATTAAGAAATATTAATGTAAAAAGTTTAGAAGAGAAAATGTATAAAGAGAGCAGCACATAGTAGTGCAAAGTACAGCTTCGAATGTACGCACTTTAATTCAATAAACAAACATACTAGTAGCGCCATTCGTGGGAAAACGTTCAAGTTTGTAGTGAAAATAGTTCCCACTGTTTCTATAAGATTGCGCCACCAATACTCTTGAATCAATTGTTCTTTATTTCTCATAAATGCTTGATTAATGCGATTCTTTGGTTTACAACACTGCAATGTATCATTTAGTATATCAAATTTATCATTTTTATGGATAGTTATTTAACGCAGCAATAAGTATTGACAGTGGGAACTGTTTTCACTACAAACTTGGACGTTTCCCGACGGATAGCGCCACTGGTATTAAAACCAGTATTAGTATAGCTAATTCTTTTTTGATTGTGATATAGCAAAATTTATAACAAAAGTACTATGAGTTTATATAGCTCCAGAATTGAGCAAGTATTTTTAGAAAGTTTTTAAGAAAGACTGACTAACATGCAAGTCGCAATATTATAGAATAAGTATTGATAGTAGAATGCATAACTTATTTAAATAGTTGTTACAGACTAGTCTTGTTGCTATAAGTATTATTATACTTTGTTATAAATATAAACCGCATATAAAGTATTAATAGGATGCATAATGATATATTTTTATACAAAATTACCGATAGTAATAGCGAGTAACAGAGTAAAATCTAATATAAGGAAACTTTGCAATTGTCCGAATAGATTTTAGTTGTAGCTATATACGATATGTAAGGCGAGCAATAATGAAACAAGTCTGTATGCACTTCATTTGTGGGCCAATAAACGTATTAACCAATTCGTACCAGAGAGCGGCTCAGTGAGTGATGGTGTAGCTGTTTAATTGTTTCTATCGTGTTCTATCTTATCGACGTTAAACGGGAGTATATTTACAAGGCGCGGAAGGATATCAAGCTGGTTGATTTGTGGATCAATTAGGTTTGGATCTGAAGCCGTCATAATGGCAAATTAAATTTAAAAATGAATTTTCGCGGTACAGTTCCCAGGAAGCCTAGCAAGCACCACCAATACCACCATATGTAACAAAATAAAACACTCTTCACCTTTTCTCTATCGTGATTGTTCGCCTCACTTCTGGACTCTGTATAACGCCAGTAGATGGCGCTTGCGCTCCATTATATTCTTCTTTACCTACGACCAATTTGCGGATTCGACATATATGTATATTATTTACACTGCTTTCACACGGCTATACTAGTTTATTATATACAGAAAACTATATACATTCCTTTATATAAAATTTTTACAAGAACAACTTTATTTTTCTCACTCTCTATGACTTTCACTTGACCAGTGCTTACCACCAACTAACTTTCTTCTTCGCTTTTCCGAAGAAGAGAAAGAAGCTGTTAAAAGGTGGCGTTAGGAGTTTCCTGAGGTTTTCCCCGCCTTCCGGTGGAAAACGCCTATATCGAAAAATTACGCGCTTTTCTTTGACCCGTGTGGAAGTAGAGGTCGCCACAGCTCTGTAAATTGAGCGCGGATAATAATGCATTAAAATTAAAATTTAATCAGTAAATTGAGCATTTTCCAGTACGTAGTATTATAATTTGAATAAATAAATGTGTATATAGGTAAAAGAAAATTACGCTGTACATCATACATTGTACGGTGGCCCACAAATCAAGCGCGTAAATGTATAATGCATTAAAACTCTCTGATAAAGGTAGCTTTATTTTGAAATATTCTTTCTTTTCTGACTTTTTAACTGACTTCGAAAAGGAGGAGATTACTCAATTCGACATGTATATATACACGACATGTGTGTATATATATTTTTTTTTTTTTTTTTTTTAAGGTATGTTCATCGATTACGCCGAGATGGCTTGACCAATCGGAATGAATCCTGTTGCATCTTGTAGAGCATGCCCCCCGGTGGTCTTATTATCAAGATTTTTTTCGATTTGTCATTTTTTACCCGTTTCTTTACCAAAAGACCGTGATTTTTAGGTATGCTTGCCGATTACATCGAGATGGCTTGATGAATCGGAATGAAGCCTCTTGCATCTTGTCGAATATTTCTTCCAGTTGGTCGCGTAAAAGAAACATTTTGTGATTTGTCATTTTTTACTCGTTTTTTTTTTAAAAAACAGAAAAATCTTGTCTTGCTTCTTACCCCGAGACGGATGGACCAATCAGATTGAAACTTCTTGCATCTGGAAGAGCATTTGCCATTTGGTCCCATAACAAAACATTTGTCCTTGTCTTATTTTTTTACTACTTTACATCACTTTTTATCGCAAAAAGCGTACTATTTCATGTATGTTTGGCCTGAAATCGATGAAATCGATGAAACCCCTTACATTTTACAGCCGGAGAGGTTTTCGCAATGATCACAGATGCAAAAATTTATGAATTTCTGTATTGTTTATAACTATTGTTATCGCTAAATGATATGATGTAACTCGGTGAGGAAATTACCGAGCGCGATGAAACCTTCTGCATTTCATAATAGATGAACTCGTGATGTTCCGATTTGCAAAAATGTATGGACACTTTCAGTATTTAAAACTGTTGTTGGTGCAAAATTGCTATGCTCTGGTGTAGCTCGACAAGGAATTTACCAAACGCAATCAATCCTTTAACATGTAGTTGCACATATATTCCTGATAATCCCGTTTGCAATTATACAGGGTGTCCAAAAAATATTGGTTGTCCTTGAATGAGGTGTTTTGGGGGTGATTTGAAACAATTTTTTCTTAACGAAAATGTTGTTCGAGGCTTCGTTAAGGAGATATTTCAGAAACAAAAACCCCCGACCAATCAGAGCGCGAGTATGCCGGAGGAAAATAAGAAAAGTGTGAAATAATTTCTATTTAAACTGCATTGTTATTCACCATCGTTTGATGAATTTGGTTAAATTATTAAATACATCATATTAAATGCAATGCACCTTTTTCGGAGGCGGCGCAAAATTTAAAATTAGGTATATTCAAAATTGCCAAACTTGGTTTAACTTTCCGTCGGAGAAACAGAAAATATGGTCTTTAATTATTGTTATCATTACATCCACTTTAGACATCATATTCATTAACACTATTCAATATCGCCGCCCCCACCAAATACTATCTCAAACCTATTCATACAGTATTTCCATGGGGAGAGTTTATACATTAGCAGTAATCAATATTGCCGCCACTCCCCTCCAAAAAAGCCCCAAATCTACTCAAACTATATTTCCGTGTACATATCATATACATTAACTATTAATTCCACATAGACAATAAACATGTATACATTGACAGCATTCAATACTGCCGCCTCTACCAAAAGCTAACCCAAACCGGAATTAAAAAGTTTTTACATCTGCGTCGCCACCGAAAAAGGTGCATTGCATTTAATATGATGTATTTAATAATTTAACCAAAATCATCAAACGATGGTGAATAACAATGCAGTTTAAATAGAAATTATTTCACATTTTTTACTGCATTTTCCCATACTTTTAAGCAATTATATCTAGAGCTAGTGTGTATTCATATAAATTAACTAGAAATTATTTCATACTTTTCACTGTATCTTTTTTGAAGTCGGTTAAATTTTTTTTTCAAAAAATTATTTTATTAATTGAAAATGTTTCTAACTCTTATCATCTGCGACATTTTACTGAGACAAATACATTATCCAATTTCTATTCGTATTTATCAATTACGCAAATTTTATTCAGCTATTTACAATAACTTTATACTCATTCGATCCTTTCAAGTACACCGACAATAAATGAATGAATGAAAAGAATGAAATCAATTTAATGTAGCGTTAAAATCTTTCTTCGTCGATATTTATACATGTATTCTATCGTCATATTTACGTATCTACTATCATAATGTAAGATTGAGACCTATTCGTATACTACTAAATATTTTTTTATTTCAGGAAGTATTTCAAACGCTGCTTCGTCTCGTGTTCCGCAACATTTTGGCGTATCTGAAGAAAAATATAGGTAAGGATTAATTTTCATCCTTGTAATTATTTACGGCTGAAAATCAACAAGTGCTCCAAACTGTTGACCTTCGCGAGTAGGGGTCCGGTTAATTTATCCGGCACCGTAACATTATCTTCCACCCCGTCGTGTTGCTTTTTTATGGCGTCAGTTTTTGCGTACATCGTTCCGCGCGTTAAAAGTTTAATGCTGTCGCGAGAGAGGGCTGGAGTAATTAATGCCGCGAGCGGTACGCTTTCATTGATTAATCCTGCGCAAAAATCGATCAAAGTTTACGATTAACCAACGAGACAGCAATAATTAAACAGCAATAAACCTTGGTTATTAATCCTCTTGCTCTTAAGAGAGGCGCACATTTGTCCTACGAGAATTCTCTGAGTGTTCGTCATTCTTCGCAATATTACATGATCCGCGTCCAAATGATTCTGGGCACCTTTCCAAGTCTATAAACCAGACGGTGATAGGAAGGATATTCGTTATCAGATCTATTTTTCCTGAATGTTGTAGAGAGTTTGCGAATCGCGTCGATACGGTCGTCATTTTCGCCAGCTTTTTGCAAAAAACTCACTTTAACATTCGAGGTGCGCTTGGCATGAACGTTATCTGAAGATACCACTTGCTCGTCAGCTGCTTTCGAATTTTTCTTTGGGGGCTGTTTGAATTTCGGAACGTTCTCTTCTTTGGATATTTTAGAAGGATAACCTTTACTCGTGGGATTGGATAATCCGCTGTTGGTAGTTTCTTCGCCAGATTTTGGCTTTTGCAGTTTATTCGTCTCGTTTGCTTTCTGGGAATCTCTTTTCCCGTTTCTCGCGCGTTTTATTGCTTTTTTGATTTTTGGTAACTGTTTCTTAGATGAATCTTTCTCAGCTTCCTTTACTCGAGGCATTTCGTTGTCCTGTTTCTCGAAATATACAATCTCTCTGGAAATTTTTTACAAAATTTGTTATACAGCGAGTAATCTTTAAGTGGCGCGATAATTGTCTCTCTAAGAGACGCGAGATCATCCCCACCACTTCTCGGGTGTACTCCCGAGCCTCCCCAATTAGAAAAAAAACTGATTTTTTGACACCTCAAGCGTCTCCCAGCCGTGTGTAGAGCCTGAATGCGAGGTGAATAATAATTGTTTTTGAACATGTATCCATAAAATTTTCGTTTTTAGAGACTATTTAATCAAAATCAACCTCGGTGTATGGATAAATGATAGGGAGATTGGAACACGATCGATTTGACAAAGCAAAAAATCGATGTTTTCGGCGCAGGAGAACCGATAAGTTTTGATTTAGAAGGCGGGCATTTTGAACGCTTTTCTGTATTTAAACGTCATTTTTTCCCGAAAATATCACCGTACAAATTTTTTTTGACAATACCATTGAAAAGCTGAGACTTCGAGCAAGTTTTTCCCGATGAGTGTCCGCTAAACAACTACGTCTTTGAAACCGAAAAACGTATACAGAAAAAGTCAAATTTTTACAAATTTTCACAATGTAAAGTTTGATCTAATTTTTTGCTTGTTAAATCTACGTAATAAATTTTGGTTCGGCACCAGATATATGGGAAATTTAACGCTCTTTCGAATGGTATACTTGCTTTCAAGTTTGCACTGCAATTTGGTGGAGTTATGGCCGTTTAAAGAGTGTCAAGTCGCAAACGCATAAAAAATATTGACAGTGAAAATACTCGAGAATAAGGCGACACAAAGAAAATGTCTAAGAGTAATATATTGTTGGAAATTCGTTGTAGAATTGACACCCTGCGTATGTCCGAATTTATACGTAGACACCCTGTATATTGAACAGATCCGTTACCGTTCGAATGTTTGTTTTTGCGGAAAGAAACAGAGAGGCATACGGTAATTCAAACACGGCATTTAAATTCAGAAATTTCCGAAACAGCCTTAGTATCAAAAATTCATCGCGAAGAAAGTACTGTCCCATTACCTCCCGTCTGCCTGCATCACCTTTGCGTCTTTCTCGTCGTTCGTCTTTTCAACTTTTCGTCCATTGCTGGAAGAAGCGATTTCCTTAGCATTCTCGTTCATCTGCGGTTTCTTCTTCGCGTCTAGAAATATATTGCTTCGTATCTCGGAAATCAAAGCATCCAGAGACGGTGTCAGCGGCATTTCCAGAGTTAACGCAATTATTTCCTTCTCCAAGATCCCTTCGAATCGACAATCTATCTCGTCCATCAGCGTCGCCGTTGAAACCACATAGCTCTCGGGAGACGACACCAGCGATTGACCCAACAGACTCTGTACAAAACTCTGCATTTCAGGACGCAACAGTATCCTCCTTATTTCCTCCGTGTCCCTGGCGGTCTCGATTATGATCCTCGATTTCTCAGGATTCACGCGTTCGAGGACCTCCAGGACCGCCTGCACTAACGCTTGGATCTGGTAATTTACCAGAACTGGGACAGTTTTGTGATCTCTGCTTCGAAATTGGACGCACCTCGCCGGTGTATTCAAGTAAACGCACTTTCTGTACTTCCTCGTCGTTTCAGGGCTCAAGTTAGTCGACAGGAGGGAATTCGTGGAGGGTCGACTCTCCAACATGCCACGAAACGGGGACTTGGTGCTGGAGGTCTTCGAAAGGGTCTTCTTCAGGGCTCCAAAGCTGGGCTTTATGGTGATGAGTTTGGAAGCGTCGTGTGTCGCGTGATCCTTGGGTTTGCATCGTTTCGACTTCAACATGGTGATACCGCGGTCTACCTTGACCGAGGATTCCATCGTAGATCGTCTGGACGGACTGCGCGTGGATCTGGCGAGCCAATTCTTGTTCGACGCGGTGGTTGTTCTGCTGGAGAAATCATCGTCCTCGTCCAGACGAAAGGACAAGCTGTTCTCGTTCAAACCGTTTAATTCCATGCTGGAACGAGCTAGTTTCTTTCTTGTCACACCTTCCGCCAGGGCTTGTTTAATTCGCAGCTCGTGGCTCGGACCGAGCAAAGAGTAAACGTGAGGAGAGATAGTCGGCATCTTCTCGAAGCCTTGCAAGGCTATTTTAGTATGCTTGGCGTTGGTCGATAGAGCCCTGCCGAAATCGACGTTGTTGTCCATATACTGTTTGTATTTCTCCTCGAAATCGCGGATCGTCTGGTCCTCTAAATTTAGCTTTCGCGGATCTTCGTGCAGCTTCACGTTACCTCTGCGCCAGGACTCCTCGGTATCCACCACGTAACACGGGAGGATGTTGTTCCACGCACCGGAAAACTGCTTGTTTTTGGCTTTGAATAAATTTGCGCGTGTTTACAACGGCTGGCGGGAAGAGTTCTAAAAATGTGTACGCTCGCGCGTTTTTTTTTCTTTTTTATTACTTCGGAATTGTACGAGGAGTCTAGAAGAAATATTTTATAGAAAATGCAGGAGAAAGTACTATCCGAGTACAGTAAAATATTGATCGTTACAGTAAATAAATAAGAAAATGGTATTCGAGTAGCGAATTCGAATTGTAGTGTTTTAATGCAGTAGATACGTATACATGTGAAAAGTACAGAATAGCGCAGAAGAATATATGATAGCACTGAATAATTCAACATGATACAGCATAATATAGCATAATTAGAATGATACAAAATAATACAGAATAATAAAAAATTTATATATGCAGGGTGTCTACGTATAAATTCGGACATACGCAGGGTGTCAATTCTACAACGAATTTCCAACAATATATTACTCTTAGACATTTTCTTTGTGTCGCCTTATTCTCGAGTATTTTCACTGTCAATATTTTTTATGCGTTTGCGACTTGACACTCTTTAAACGGCCATAACTCCACCAAATTGCAGTGCAAACTTGAAAGCAAGTATACCATTCGAAAGAGCGTTAAATTTCCCATATATCTGGTGCCGAACCAAAATTTATTACGTAGATTTAACAAGCAAAAAATTAGATCAAACTTTACATTGTGAAAATTTGTAAAAATTTGACTTTTTCTGTATACGTTTTTCGGTTTCAAAGACGTAGTTGTTTAGCGGACACTCATCGGGAAAAACTTGCTCGAAGTCTCAGCTTTTCAATGGTATTGTCAAAAAAAATTTGTACGGTGATATTTTCGGGAAAAAATGACGTTTAAATACAGAAAAGCGTTCAAAATGCCCGCCTTCTAAATCAAAACTTATCGGTTCTCCTGCGCCGAAAACATCGATTTTTTGCTTTGTCAAATCGATCGTGTTCCAATCTCCCTATCATTTATCCATACACCGAGGTTGATTTTGATTAAATAGTCTCTAAAAACGAAAATTTTATGGATACATGTTCAAAAACAATTATTATTCACCTCGCATTCAGGCTCTACACACGGCTGGGAGACGCTTGAGGTGTCAAAAAATCAGTTTTTTTTCTAATTGGGGAGGCTCGGGAGTACACCCGAGAAGTGGTGGGGATGATCTCGCGTCTCTTAGAGAGACAATTATCGCGCCACTTAAAGATTACTCGCTGTATAACAAATTTTGTAAAAAATTTCCAGAGAGATTGTATATTTCGAGAAACAGGACAACGAAATGCCTCGAGTAAAGGAAGCTGAGAAAGATTCATCTAAGAAACAGTTACCAAAAATCAAAAAAGCAATAAAACGCGCGAGAAACGGGAAAAGAGATTCCCAGAAAGCAAACGAGACGAATAAACTGCAAAAGCCAAAATCTGGCGAAGAAACTACCAACAGCGGATTATCCAATCCCACGAGTAAAGGTTATCCTTCTAAAATATCCAAAGAAGAGTACGTCAATTAAACGTCATTTTCTCCCGAAAATATCACCGTACAAATTTTTTTTGACAACACCATTGAAAAGCTGAGACTTCGAGCAAGTTTTTCCCGATGAGTGTCCGCCAAACAACTACGTCTTTGAAACCGAAAAACGAATACAGAAAAAGTCAAATTTTTAAAAATTTTCACAATGTAAAGTTTGACCTAATTTTTTACTTGTTAAATCTACGTAATAAATTTTGGTTCGGCACCAGACAAATGGGAAATTTAACGCTCTTTCGAATGGTATACTTGCTTTCAAGTTTGCACTGCAATTTGGTGGAGTTATGGCCGTTTAAAGAGTGTCAAGTCGCAATCGCATAAAAAATATTGACAGTGAAAATACTCGAGAATAAGGCGACACAAAGAAAATGTCTAAGAGTAATATATTGTTGGAAATTCGTTGTAGAATTGACACCCTGCGTATGTCCGAACTTATACGTAGATACCCTGTATATATATTTCTGTATATTTGAATACAGTAAAATCTTCACTATAATAGTCAATACATAATAAAATGCTGAAAAGGTGGCGAATGAAATCAGATTGCAGCTGGAAATAAAGCAAGCGTACCTTTCTCCAATAAGGCTGTAACGGGTCGGACAGTGGATTCGTCGTTATCGTTCCACCTGGTGCTGTGAGCGGTTAGGAGGTGCAGACAAAGGACTTTCCAAGGGTCGACAACGTCGTTGGTGAATAGTATCGATCGCACGAAATCGTAGGAATCTTTCGGTGGTTGTTTCTTCGTCGGCGGACCGTTTTCTTTGATGGCTCCAGTGCAATGGTAGCAAAAGCCTGGGTTGTGGGTTTCGTACATTCGCACGTTGATAGCCTGCGCGTCAAATACTGTGTCCGCGATTAGATCAGAAGATTAGGCATTGCATTCGCGTACACCATTGGAATTTATAGAGTAATTTTATCTCTGGCGTAGGGGTTGGTAAACTCTTATTAAAGAGGATGGAACGATAAATATATGAACAGTCTTTTAGTTCCAAATACCTTTAGCAGCGAGTGCACGATAGAAAATGATAACAAGCTATTTTTCTAAGGCGCATTTTCAGTTATTTTCGTTCGCAGTCGATGTTAGTTTTGCATAGTTAGTTAGTTGCTAGTTATGGATTGTTTTGAAGGAAAACTAGCATCGACTGCAGATGAAAATAATTATATAATATAATCACAATTAGAATTATATAATTCCAGCACTCTCTGCTAAAAGTACTTGAGATCAGATTGTACTACATTACAAGTGCAACAGTACAAGACTTCTCAGCTCATGAATCAGACATTGTCACAGTGACGACAGTTTGCCAAGCCCTGTTCCAGACGTGCTCCAATCGGGGCGTTAGGATAGATTTGCAAAAGGGAATGAAAAGAAAACCGCATCCTTGATTGACTTTTCGTGGTGTTTCGCGATCTTACGTTCGATCCAGACGATTGCCGTCGAGTTTCCAAGTTTTTGCGATGCAAGCGAAACCGGTGCCTCTCCGTCTCTATCATTCTGAGATCCGACTTTTCCACCTTCTCGAGTTTCACGAGTTCTTGCGCCAGTTTCTGACGGCTAATCTCGTTCTGTTTAACGAGCCTGTCTTGCAGTGTCACGCTAGATTTCATGGTCGCCCCTTTCTGTGCTTTTCGTTGTCGAGAAAATTTTCGGTCGAAAATACGGTTAGGGTCGATGGAAACGATGAATTTCTCCTGCATTCATTTCCCTTCGATTACACTGAAATTAACGCGATCGCGTTTCACTTCATATTACACGAAACTCGTTAGTTTTTTTGAATTTCCTGAAGATTTAGCCTAATGGACTTTGGATTATAGTAGACAAGATAGTTACTTTGACAGATGTACTTCCGAAACTTGATAGGTAACAATGTTTTTGTCGCAATGATGGATGAGAATGATCGAGGTAGAACACTAATCGTACTGATAAATCGATTTATCTTTACTTTCTCTAATTTCAAAAATGTAGATTTCTCTTGCTCGAGTCGCTATATTAATACCAGATATCTCAAAGAAAGTCACACCCTACTTTACTCAGTGATATTTGATTTTTTCAAAAACAATCACGCATTTCTATCGCTTTATAATATTAGTATAAAGATAAGATATATTACAATAATAAGGGTGTTTCGTTCTACATTTCTTTCTGGGAGTGTTCAGGCCTATCGCGGTTCGCAAGCGTTCCCAACAATAATAGTAGTCTTAAAAATCTGGTTAACCGTGAATCATAGGAGCATATTGCATAAGGCATTAAGATACTTGGCACGGCTTGGTTAGAAATGAACTTTCTAATAGGCTTTCGTTATTTATAGGCTAAAGAATTTTATTTACCGTCGACAAGAGCACACGGTAGCAGAGACTTTGCGTCGTTTGAACGTCTGTGATCGCAACAAGCGTAAATACATGCTAATCGTGCCAATTGAAATCGATTATTTTTCTTTGATTTTCGTGTCAACCATGTTAGCATTCGCAACGTCTATTCAAGCCTCGTGTTGTCGATTATCTTACGCCACGTTGACGATAGCTTTCGCGTAGCGAAAAATTCCTCCGTCTCCTACAAATTAACAGATGCAAAACAAAAATTAAACACAGGAAGAAAACACAGGAACGCATTGTGCAATCGATCTGCGGGCAATCTATCTTTTATCACCTTTCGAGGGACGTTTACTTTCAAAAATTTTACCTATCTTATCTCGATCGCGTAAGTTAATTAAGAGAAACTGTGCCATACCCATCGTTCGGCACGTTCAGTTTCATTAAAATCAAATTAGCTAGCGACTAGAGCTTATACGGATAATACTCGGCTAATCACTGAATCAATCGAAAGATAACTTTGAAGTAGTATTTCTACCGGAACATGTAATAGTTAAAATTTTATTTTTGCACGAATAATAATTATTGCTTACTATTTTAACAAATTCTAATTATAAAAGTTGTACACTTTTTATTTATCTACGTGTAAGTTTACAACTTGTGCAGGATATTTGGTAAATTATTTTAGAAGTATTTTGCAAATAATAAAAGTAAATATGTGCGCAATGAATGTATTCAATTTGCAAGTATATTAGCATAACGTACATATTTTACATTACATATAAGAAAATAATAAATTATTCAGATTATTATACCAATATCTTCCAAGAAAGTAATATTCCCAAACATGAAATTTCTAGCCGAATTTTTAAGTCCACCCAAAAAACGGAAGAACAAAGAGAGGATATATGATGACCAAGGGATAATAATGAGGAGAAAAATGATGACTTTTCACAAATATCTGAATATTTAGTGATTTAAAAATTCGGTTGGAAATTTCATGTTCGGGAATATTTTCTCCGAAGACATTGGGTATATTAGGCGTATTCTAATATGGGTCACTGGAGTGTTAGAATTTTCAGACAAAAATTTTTATTTATTTGTCCACTCACTCCGAAACAGCCCTGGCGATCGGTGTCGCCACAGTGGTGGTTTTAGCAATTATCTTCAAAGTAGCCAATATGGCGACGTAATCTTGTTTCACGAGTGCATGTGTTACTTTATAATCGACAATTACTTCAAATATTTATCATTGTTAGTCATCTCTACCCACGAATTAAACTTGCTATTCTCAAAATCGTAAGTACTGCTACAAAAATGTGCCAACAGTCAAGGGTTGAAATGTTATATCTTTGCAAACATTTGATTCTAAGAAACGGGCGCGAAAACCGTCTTGACCGAGTGCGAGAAGGAGAGAGAGAGAGAGAGAGAGAGAGAGAGAGAGAGCCATTGTCGATCGTTTGGTTAAACAGTGTCTTCTAATTGGCTGTTGGAGCATTGCCGCGCATAACAGTCACGTCGATTGGTCGGCTGTTTTGTTAGATTGACCGCGATCGTTGGGAACGCGGACGGTTACATCAATGGTTCGAACGTCGAAGCGAGTGGTTCGCAGTTCGTGAGATTGTTCCCGTTTGTTTATGTAGATTTTGCACGAATGCAATAGCACCGAAGTCGCAAGAGTGACGCGTAGCGCCGTGGCGGTTAGGAAGGCCGGTAGTGTGACGGGCCGCGTGGTAGGAGGTTGCTGCGATTCAATTTCAGTCGAAGCGCGCCAGGCAGACCGAGCGCCAGCAAGAACCGGCTGCTCTCTTTTCCGCACCTCGAACCTCGTTTTTCGAGCAGCATAGTCGAATCGGTTGGTGTGTGCGCGGGTTTCTCTGTCCAACGGTCCATTCGTGAGACCGGGATGCACACGTACCGGTCGGCCAGAGGGGGATGCTCGTAGTGCGTGTGTGTGTATGTGTGTGTGTGTGTGTGTGCGGCGAGCCTCCCAGCAACCGAGCGAGTGTTTACATCGTGCGTATAGCCCACCGCGGACAACCGTTGCACAGGGAACACGGCAATCGACATCGCGGAAAGGAGCGTCGAGAGCAATACTTCGAAAGATCTTTAGACGAAATTTGTGCGACTGTAGTCGAGAGTTGCGCGAGTGTGAGTAGAATATTCGAACAGTGGAATTGAACCGTTTCTCCGCGTCGAGGAAACGATCGCGAATCGTACTCGAAAATGAACAATCGAAAGGTCCCTAGCGTACTAGTGCAGTTATTTCGATTATCGATCTGGGACTGTCGTCGCGCTTTAATCGAGTGACCCCCCGACCACGTGATACGTACTGCCCGCCGCCATGACTGCTAGGGGATAACCAAGAAACCGAGCTCATTTGTGAGAATGGAATTTCCAGGCTACAAAGGCACCGGTCCTCGCGTCAGGGTGCGACGACGCGCGGAATTAGGAAGACGGCTCACCAGGAGGCTGTCGCTGGTCGCGAAAATGCCAGCTGCCATTCTTAACAGAGCGAATCCACCCGAACCAAGGCCAGTCGAGATCACGGCGATCGCACCCGACAAGACCCAGCTCACCGTAAGTAAAAACGAGACTTTATCGCCTCTTAATTACATCGCGCGTCGAAATTACGTACGTTCGGCCTCGTTTCCCGTCAAGGCTCTACGAATTAGAAACTCGATAACGATCGAGCTCGCTCGCGTGTTGCTTCGTGCGAAGCATCGGGATTTATATTTTCTGGGATAGCTCTCTCGTATGCTCCCACGTGCTTCGATTATCGAGATTGTCGCGTTCCGCGGTATCGGTCCCGTAACATCGTGGAAAAGCTTGAACCTATATTCAGAGGTATGGTGGATTCCGTGGTAGAAATCGAATCTCCGTGCCGAGCTTCGACGATTAATGTACCAACACGTAAGTTGCACGGCTGGCTACAAGTGCTGTACATTCTATACAGGAGTAAGAGGCGTTACCTTCGGTATTTAAGCGCTCTATAGAAACGTTTCGCGTCATTCTCTTCTTGTGTTTATAGGTTCCTTCGCTGTCTCGCGCTTCGTACTCTCTCGCTGACTTTTGTTGACGATCGCGGGGACGACCTTTCTTAGAGGTCTACCAATGGATTAACGAATGTTTGGATTCTGCTTCAACCGTGTATCCATGTGGAAGTATACATCGAAGCCTACCGTTGCTAGAGGTCGCGTACGTTCACTTGTTTTCATCGGTGAATGGTGTTTCGAATATTCGTTCACGAGCATTGATATTCGCTGGCGATCGTGTACATTATTTAGGGTTTCGGTGAAAGTGATTTTGTATTTATTTCGTTAGGAAGATAACGCTTTTACGTAGTTTTCAGAAGTTACCTCGACGTAACCGGTTCAGTCCAGGCCAAATAGTGATTATTATACTCCGGATTTTATGCATTTATGGCGTATAGTAATTTGGAAAACATGCAAAAAATATGCATAATGTACGTTGAATATATTTTATAATTAATATAGTAAAATTGTTCTTTCATTTTGCATAAGTGCACATATCTTTTGGTTATGTTTAACATGTGTTTACTATGTCAGTTTATATCATAAATCCATAACATTTGTAGACTAGTGATTTTCAACGAGCTGTGAAGCACACTTTCGTTAACTTAGATATGTTTATTATATATACATTTTGTGAACAGAACCGAAGCAACCCTCTAATTTTTCTACACAATGATGAGCTGCTTCTGTTTACAAGGCAATAAAACAATCGTTAATGACGAGTAGAGAAAATTCTCTTTTAATAGTACGTTTTATTTATTGCTACACGTTAACAAGCTATGCCATTTTGACGAACATAAAGTGGTATTCTTTTTCGATTTACCAAAGGTTTGATTCACGTAAGTTTCTCTTGGAATGTGAAAAACAAATGAATTTCTTATTAACTAGGAAACTTTTGTCAAGATCAGGGTCATCGATGTTTGCTAACATAAATACTCGTAGGATTAATTTAACGTAAAGAAATTTTGGACCACATTGCCCCAGTTATTTGCGAAAAATAAATCTCTTAATTAAACACTTAAACTCGTTACTTTAAGAGATGTACTTCTAAACACTTTTATTTATTTATTTAGAGTACATCTCTGAAAGTAACAAGTTTAAGGGTTTAATTGAACACTGTAATTTCCAATCTAAATTTCTAACTCGCAAACTTACGATTCGCGATAGGACTCCTCTTCCCTGAAGATTACGATCTTCGCAGAACCCCGATGATTGTTCACAGGCCTATTTTCTTATTTTTTTCCTTACCACGGCTCTCGATCGCTGGGAAGAGGAACATTCACAAGTTCTGAATACGCTTTAATAATAACGATACGTGCACGCGCGTTGCACGTGCGTACGTAAGCTCGTGAAAGAAAAGTGAAGGCGTCGTTGTATGCACGATGGCGTTCCTTGAACTCCGCCGACCGACTCTACACGTAATCGTCGTAAGAAAGAAAGTGCGCAACGTGATCGATAGCAGCACTTTCTATCCATGAACGACATGCACTTTGTCCCCGTTCGGAATTTTACGCGCGTCGATTAGGTTTTATCGAGGTATTGACGTGTCTCATGGGCGGTTTGGCAAATGCGAGCAATTTCGTTTCACCTGTGTAGTTTCAGCTACCGCGGGTTACGAGCAAGAATTTAAATTTGATGCGTGGATTCGTTTAGTTTTTTTCTCTTTTTTATTAGTAAGAAAAAAAAATGGTTTTGAATTATTTAATATATTTAAGGAGGTATCCTGAATTAGGAGGTCTAAAAGAAGCGGTTTTTCGTGAATTTTTGTAGGATGGAAAAAATAATTCATTCTGTCGAACTTTTTATCCTATTTTCATACATATTTGAGTAGTCTGTACACATTTTCTCAACAAGAAATATTCAAATTGAGTCGACTGTGACGCACATTTGTAGAGCACCTCGCAATTAAAACCTATCGGCGGGAAAGATGCAGGTCGTAATTTTGGTTTGACACAAAAAAAACAAAAGAAATTTTCATTTTTATACATGTTTCTTCTATGTGAACTAAAAAAATTCATACAAAAAACAGTTTGATCAAGTTTTTTATCAAGTGAAAGTGATTTTTTTCACTCAATGAACTCGTTCTTTTTTTCAAACTTGCAGTAATTTCACATTTCACCATTTTTGCGGTTTTTTTTTAGTTCAGATAAAAGAAAAATGTATGCAAATGATATTTCTTTCGGTTTTTTGTGTGTCAAACCAAAATTACGACCTGCATCTTTCCCGCCGATAGGTTTTAATTGCGAGGTGCTCTACAAATGTGCGTCACAATCGACTCAATTTGAATATTTCTTATTGAACAAATTTGTATAGACTACTGAAATATGTATAAAAATAGGATAAAAAGTTCGATAGAATTAATTATTTTTGTCTAAAAAAATTCTCGACAAACCGCTTTTTTTTAGACTTGCTAATTCAGGATACCCCCTTAATATATGTATTACATAGTTTGAGGTATAGGAGAGTCAAGGTATAACTCAGACTTTTTATTGCTTTCCACAGCCTCATGTCGTCTTACATGTTAATTGTATTTTATGACTTATTTCTACACTATTATATTCTAAGCTTATTGGCTTTCAGGAACTCAGTTATAACTCTAAACGCTCTAATGTCACTGGAGTATTGGAATTTTCAGGTGAAAATTTAGAATTTGGGACGATTCATATATTTTTAGGAAAATAGTAACTTTGTAATGTACATAAATAACATAAATGAAATCTTTTGGGATTGATTTGCTTTAGTGGTATAGTATTATAAGATGGAACTTACTAGTATCTATACGTGAAGCACATTCTAATATGGGTCACTAGAGTCTCAACATTTTCAAACAAAAATTAAAGATGGGGAAAACTTGTATATACATTATGTTTGTAAATTTTCTGAGATTTGGGAGTAATTCACATCGAGTGATAAATTATTAAAAAGTCAGCTTTCTACTATCTACAACAGAGACACAATATGTATAGTAGAGCACATAATAAATATAATAATGTCAGACGCGTTCCAAGTAGAATGAATGTCTCAGAGACGGAAAAACTATGTCCCTTTTAACATTTTCGGTGAAAACTATGGGTCTCCTCGAAACTTAGGTAACACTCGATCCTTCTAGTCGATCGACGCGTGAGCAGCATTTAAAGGTCACTGACACGCTGCCCGCTGAACGCGAAATTCACTTTCGACTTCGAGGATCCGATCGATTCCGTGCTCGAGCGACGAAACGAAGAACATGTGGTCGTCCAATGAAACGGAGAAAGTGACAGTCGAATTAGCCGGTCATCTCTGTATTTAGCGTAGAACCGTTCAACGTCGCCAGTCAGGACACTAGCTTATGCTTGAATTCCTGCTTATTACGCGCACCCGTCCATTAAGTCCCGCATGTTTGCAACGTGAGCAGGAAACAGAGCGACGAAATTCCTTTTGCCATATCTCTCGATTTGTTTTATTTTGATAGTGGTGTAACCCGATTTTTCTTAAAAGTCGATATTATGCCCACAAACTATAGAAAATTTATTATCATTGGTCAAGATAAAATTTGTATTCTCACCAAAATAAATATTTATTTATTTTGATAGTGATAATGATATGAGTCAAGTCCCAATTTTTCTTCAAATAATTCTAACATTTTATATACCTCGAGAGTCGATGCACTTATCTTCACAAAAATCTTACAGTTAGCCTGCTGGTAACCCTTATCAAAATAAATGACTCGTATATCTCGAGTAATTTTTCTATCGAGTGTAACAAATCCGATCAATGAAATTCATTGCGTTACATTTTTTCGAACGTGGAACATTTCTAACAAGAATGCTCCCGTATCCCAAACCGCGTGACAAAAAACTGACAAAGTAACGCGTCAAGATCGTTATACTGTTCCCCGTATCCGAAGATCGGTATCCGGAATTGATTGCACCATGAACGATGGATATACTTAACGAATAGGCGAATACTTAGATGATGCTTAGATGATCGAATGCGAATGCTTAGATGATCGTACGAAGACTTCTGGCTGGTATGTTCTTCTAAATATCTTGATCAAGAATACTTTATTGGAGCAGTTAGTTACTCCAATGCAAAAGTAATATCAAGCTTAGATTTTATGAGAGTGCTACACGGAATTGTTGACAGCCGGCTGTACACCTGGATTATGGAGAGGGGAGCGTTAGGAGATGTTCTGACGAATAATCTCTTGCAGAAGAAAGCGATGGAATTGCATACAGAATTCGGTGGTCCCTCAAATTTTGTTGCGAGCAACGGTTGGCTCGAGAGTTTTAAGAGAAGACACAATTTACGTGTTGGTGGTGTCTACCGAGAGTGGGTTGACGTGAATGCATTTGCTCCAGAGAAATTTCCAGAGGAATTAAATCGTATATTAACAGACGAAGATATCTTTGAAGCTGATGTCTATGTCATGGATGTGATGAGCTTAATGTGGAAAGCTCTTCCGCAAAGACTAGTGCTTCATGAAGGCGAACAATGCGTGAATGGCAGAAAAATAAGTAAAGATTGTATCACCGTGGCACTTTGTGCCAATACTACTGGCGCGCACAAGCTGCCAATCCTCTTTGTACACAAATATGCAAATCCAAGAGTGTTAAAACATTGTATGCAACTTTTGCCAGTGGTATACAAAAATGAACCAAATAGCTGGATTACTGAACCTATTTTTAACAATTGGTACACCAATTATTTTAAACAGAGTGTAAAGGAATACCAGGTGCAACAGAATCGCGTGGGGAAGGTATTACTACTATTAGTGAACAATTCGAAAGGACTCATACTCTCTGAAGAAGCACTGGAAGATTGTCAATTTACCATCCAATACAACTTCAAGAATGCAACCCATGGACCAAAGTATAATTACCAAATGCAAAAAGTTATTCAAGCACAAACTACTCTGTCGGGTATTGCAGCATGAAATAGGAGTTTAACAATTTTATCTGGATTACGATATAAAAGACTGCATCGATATGATCGCAGATGCCTGGGACACGATAACAGCATCAAACATTCAACATTTGTGGAGACAAATTTTATGTCGATCGTCTTTGGATAACACTTCTGAAAGACAGGTTCAAATCACTGCTTAGATTTTACGAATGAAGGCCTTCTAAAAACAACTCTGATTTTGAAATTGTTCTTAATATTCATCATATTCCGACTAATGCAGTCATCCTCTAAAAGTAAAGTACGTTTATCTAAATATCTTGGACAAGAGTACTTTATTGGAGCAGTTTCCTAATCCAATGCAAAAGTAATATCAAGTATAGACTTTACGAATAAAGACCCTCTAAACAGACTCTGATTTTGCAATTATTCAAACTAGTGCAATTATCCCCTAAAAGTGAAGTATATCCATCTAAATATCTTGGACAAAAGATACTTTCTTGGAGCAGTTTCTTCCTCCGATGCAAAAGTAACGTTAAACTTAGATTTTACGAACGAAAACCCTCTAAAAAGACTCTGATCTTGGTTCGCGGTCGGTCGAAAACCTTGAATCTGTTCGCAGATACGTAACTACGATCGTTATCGTATAGAAGATAACCAGATTTTTTGTTTAACGATAAAAGGGAAAAAAATATTTTACAATCGTCGTGTACGCGGCAGTAGAAAGTCTTAAGAGCTTGCCGTTAAACCATAAACGCATCGTCTTTATCGATTCTCGTAAACGTTCGAATGCGAACCTTTGGAAGACCGACCGTGGAAGTTTTCAAAAGCCGCTTCTTCGCTCGCGGCGTAGATTGGCCCCAAGATTGGTATTTCGGTGGACATCGCTATAATCCGGCGAAACGTCCTTATCGGAGGTTTCCCTTTCCAAAGAGCATCGAATAGTTTCGATACCTCGTCGTTGGTAATATTTACCTGGCCTGGTCACCTGGATCTAGGCGCTCCAGGTAGAAACGCCTGACTGAAATTGCTTTACTTTGAAACTAAACTAGTTTCAGGAACGTTACGGTTCGAGCAGTGAAATAAGTACGATCAAAGTAAGAAAGATTTAAAAAGAAATAACACACACGACCGATCGACGTTAAGGGTCGTAACTTGTTCGACTAACGACGTACACTCGGTTCTTAAATTATTTTTCCACCAGATACATGTGTTCCGTTCTCGGTCGCGGTCAAGCGTGATAAAATAGTGGACTTGTTTACTGTAGTTGCGTACCGACTGTCGCATTATTAGCGAGTGTACGGCTGCGTGACTCTGACAATCAGAGCAGAATGAGATCTAAAATTCGCAATCTCACGAATGAATCCACTCGAGTCCGCCTAATTACGACACCGTAATCGTTAGTCACAGATGCTAGAAGCAATCCAATCGAGACATAACTTTCGGAAAGATACGTTCCACGTGCTGCGTCGTAAATGAGAAAGAGTAACTACCGGATATATTATTATTATTAGAGGAGTTGTTAATTTGTTTATTTGAGTTCGAAGTCGTTACAATTTAGACTATAACACCTGTTGGTTCAGTCGGAGCTGTTGATAAATACTATCGGATAAGTGACATGATAGGTATATTATTACTAGAAAAGTTTTCTCAACTTTTTTCTTGTAAGATAACCAAGATAAGTGGTTATCAGAAATTTGTATTTTCGTTTTATAATCATTGGCGCTTTCCTCAAGTGCGAGCGCGGAGGAAAAATGTAGATTATATGTGTCAACGAGAAACAGTCGAGGGTTCGAGAAGGCTATCTCGATAGATTGAAAAGTGCTGGAAATCGTGTGTTCGTATCCACGGAATTTTCAGGAAGTGATTCATGCTTCTGAAGCCCGCAGAGCTTTCACCAGTCGCTTGCGTCACGTCTGAAACAGGTGACGAGCTGTGACCGATCGCAGTTATTCCTAACGCAGTTGTACATTACTGTATTGCTCCTAATAATCAAACCAGGATTTTCCAAACAAAGAGACGTATACTTCTTTGTATACGAGTCAAAGTTCCAGTCAATCGAAATCAATAGAGACATTTTTAAACGACATTAGCGGCATTTAATCATAGCAACCATTTTATTATGATCATACACCTTGAGAAATTATTATTATTACATTAGTTTACAATATTTGATCCGTACACTGCACTAAATCGATTAGCTCCACTTTTTGAAAATTTTTTAATTGAAGTGTCAAAGCACTTGGTATAGTCATAACTAGACTGCGGAAGTTTATGCACGATAAATATGTAACATGCATATGCAAAATATGCACGAAAAATATGCAAAATATGCATGAAAAATTTGCAAAATATGCAAGGTATATAGGTATATTTAAAATGTAGTATAATAAGTAATATATTAGTATGTTACCGAATATTCGCTATGTACACATATATCCAATACTTTTCATAATTATTCTGGAATATTATAGTTCGCGTGACAATAAATTACGAGCATTTTTTCGAAATTTAGATTTACACCAACATTGTTCTGGTACACTTATTGGTCCTTGAACGTCCTCGTTATTTAAAATATTAGAATATCTAATATTTTCTCTCGTGCAATTTTAATTGCGGTAGGATCCTTTGGCTTGAATGATTGAACTACCTATTAACATAAATAAAATTTCTAGATAAAATTGTATTGAAATCTAAAGAAATTCTTTATTACCACTTGCGGGACTTTAACAAATCTTGACAAACCTCTTTAATTTTAATAATCCCATTTCTCAACTTTTTGTTGTATGGAGTTAATCGATTTATCCAATGAACGGCTCATTTACAAGTATAGTATTCGTATAATTTAAATTCTCTTTTTATATAAAGAAGTCACCATTCAGAAAGGTTGACAGTCATGCAGGGCAAAACGTCAAATTATATGTATACTGCACGAGAGACAGTACAGTACATTTGGTGCTGCACAATTTTTCGCCATACCTTCTTTTTTGTCCATTAAAATTGATCGTTAAATCGACGTCTATACTGAAATCGTGTAATTTCGAAACGATTAATCGCAGCAGTGTGAAACTGTCCGACAAATCATCTAAACCGCACAATGTCGCGTCTACCTTTATCGTAAATTATCGTAGGCCTCGAACGCCACAGCCGATGCGCATTATCGGCCATGCGGGCGGTTGAGTAACGCGAATTTTATTCAATTACTCCGTTCACTTTGAAATTGCAAAATGAGTCATTGCGTTTACGTCTATGTTTAGCCAGTCTAGCTATTTCGAGGTGAATGATCATCGCCTCATTGTCAGTTCTATTGTAAACAATCGCGCTCAACGTCGACGGATTTAGCGTTATTCAAACGGGAGCCTTATTGCAAGAGTCAACGATACGACGAGATCGATTCATTTGAAAATCGCGCACCTGTACAAACAGAAACGATTCGACGCTGGAAGACGCGAAAAGTAAAGATAGCGTCTCGGTTACTTTCAACTTTTCGAGCTGCCGCCTTTGTACTAACATTCCGTTGAATGTGAAATTCGCAGTGGACATTGGGTTATTCGTAACTCGATGACGGACGTTGGCATGGAAACGGATACTCGGTTGAAAAGGGTAGTTGTAAACGGCGAGATGACGTCAACGTGACCGATGTAGTTAATGCGACGGTAATGTTGGTACCTCGTGGTTATGGTGTTACGCAACGTTCGACCAAAGTAGATTAACAGGCGTAGGGTTTCGTCCGACTTTATAGGATTCCATTGACATCAAACGGTCGGCAAGACAAAATAACTTGCACAATCTCCAGTCGTGTTATGCATTTCGTATCTTAATCGTTGACCAAGGTGTAGGCTCGCATTAATCGCATTGGCTAATATGATAAGCGCCGACATGTAGATCGAAAGTGATTTTCATTCGAAAGTTCAAATGCTTACCTGGCAGGCTTGTTTTCAATTTTCTGGCTGAATAGAAATGGCAACATATTTTCTAATAATTATTATTCAGTTAAACGTTGTCCAAATATTTAATAATACAGTGTAAGGGGTTCGTAAGATCCACAATTTCTATTTTAATTTTCTTGTGTGAAAGATACGGATGTAGCAAAACCCCAAGGTGTAGAAGTGTTTTTATTAGTCACTCATCATTTTTATTAGCTAGGAGAGTGTAATTAATCGCCATAGCTAGAGTATAACTTTACCAACCACCGCCTGCATAAAAGCAGAAAATCTCGTTCAAACGGAACCTGGATTCAGATGTCGCATCTGCTCGCAGTACTTGTTCAGTCTTCTAACGGCTTCCTCCCTTCTCTCGGAGTAACGATTTTCCCAAGCGTCCAATAGTCGATCGTAGTACCTTTCCACCTCGAAAAATTTCAAGTACCCGTACGATTGGTTCGTGGGGAATATTTTCTCGAAATTTCCCACCTCCGCGAGTTCGTCTTCGTAGCGAATAAGCTGCCTCAGATCGTCCCGCGTCAGATTCTCGACGATTCGATCCAGATACTCGTCTCGATTTCGTATAACGTTGATTTCGTTCTGTTTGACTCTCTCCCAAAAATTCAACGTCGCGCTGTATAACGCGCAGTCGTGCGCTATCGAATCGTACTTTCCGTAGCGTCCACCGTTGGAAGTTAGATCAGTTTTTGGTATCTGATAGCCAGCCATGTTCAAAACGTTCCTCATGAGATGACCCTGTGGAACGAAAACTAATAGGAAGCATCAAATGGGTCGCAATCGTTGATTACGCGGATCACGATCCACGATTTGATCGAGCTCTGTCCGTGAACGATTTATCATCGAACGATTCGAATTTGTGTTCTCGTGTATCATTGCAAAGGAATTCGAAAGCTTGATTTTAGCGGGCTATAAACGTATCGCGCGTGATCCTGCTTGAGAATATAATTATTATTTAACGAGGTGGGTGTGGGAATGGCGGGGAGGGGGGATTCCGTTTATTTGAATCTTACAAGGAAGATTTAGGAATTACATAAATTTCAACAATTTCTTCGCAGTAATAATTGAGCCGTTCACTACACTTTTAGAAAAATCTTAAATTTAAGCACTTGGTATAGTCATAACTTTTTATATTTATAACAACTTTCCTGAAAGGGACAGTACTATCTTCGATATTTATTTGAACTTACTTTATGAAGGGAGTTCTTGTTGCGAATCGACTATACGGAAAAACAACGTAGATTATTTCATCGCATTTCTCAACTTTTTGTTTTGTGAAATTAATCGATTTGTGGAACGAACGGCTCGATCCTCAGTACCTTAACAGCAGTATCGAGCTGCGAGTCCGTTTGTAAGGACGGCAGCGTGTTGACTTCGAGGAGCCACGGCTTCAAATTCTCATCGAGGAGTACATCGAACCCATATAATTCGTAACAAGCGTAACTCGAGACTAGGTTCTCCTTAATGGCTGCGTTCATGCTCGATTCAGCGGCTATCACCGTCTTAACGACGATGTCCTTTATCTTGGACCACAGCTCAGCCACGTCCACACCTTCTTCCCGCAAGCGCGACCACAAACACCCCAGGGACCATTTATGACTCTTGAACGAATTCACACCGTCGTTGCTCACGTAGGCAGGATTCAGCTTGTTCACGCTGGTGTTGGTCAGGTGCATGTACTTGTCGCTTAGGTTCGTGTCGCGGACGTACCTGGGAATTGGACACCGGAAGGGATCGTTTAGAGTTATAGACTTTCGAAAAATTACGATTTGCAGTGATAGTAGCGCGATATAAAAAGAAAAATCGAAACAATTCTGGTAATTTCAAATGGTTCGAGGAAGATATGTTTCTATGAACGTTAACGTATACGTGCATTGATCTATTGTTCTACAACCACGTGTGAGAATCTTGGTCAGACCCAAAATGTGTATCACGAGCCTGGCAAGTTCATCGGTCTAACTTAATGTAAATAACACGTACCACGCTTTTGGTTTGTTTATATGCCGATAAGGATTAATTTAGAAATTGGAATTAATTGCTACTGAGATTTATTATCTTGAAATCAATCTTTTGTGTTATATCTATGGTTTTTGTTTTTGGCACAAGCTATTGGAATTTAAATCGCAATGCAAGGTGTTAATATCGTAAAATAAGTTTCCATCGACAGTTTTCTACGACAATATAATTTTCTCTAGTGCCCTCTACTTCTTGTTTGGATTCAAAAACGCCATTGATTTGGAGTCAGTTTTCAAGGAAGGCCGTGTTCGATACAATTTTATATTAGACATAGCTTGGAAACACCTTCCTTTCGGTATTATACTTACTCGTTACGTACATCGAATGATTAAATCGTGTCCTTCGGATTTAAGATTACCTGACCGATGCAAAACGCACCAAGCCTTCCTTGTAGATGTAAATTTTCGTGGGATTGATGCTGGTCACAAGAACGTAAACCCGCAAATCGAATTTCGAGCTGTTGATCAGCTTCGGTTTGGATATGTATCGTTGAACGATTACCGAATGCCACTTCGGAATCTCCCACCACTGATTGATGATCTTGATACCCTGACCACGACCCGCCGACGGTGGCTTGATTATCCACGTGCTGCCAATGCCGTATCTCTGCCACGCGCTTTCGAACTTTTGCATTTCCTCGGGCAGAACGAACGTTTGAGGCATGAACTTGAACTCTTCGGGACCGAATTTCTTCGTCATTCTGTTCAGGTTCATGCACAGCAAGTCTTTGCTGCCCATGTTGTGCGAGCCTGGTAGACTGTTTACCTAACCATAAAATAAACAACGTCAATATTGAATGGGGTTAGGCCCTCAGAGGCTGTAGCTATGCCTAGTCGCAGCTGCAGCACGGGTTTGTCGAATCCGAGGTACCCGAGTCTCCTTGCAGGACTATTGAGGCTTATTGGGTTGCAGAGGATAACGTAAAGTTTGTTTCATGCGGGAATTTTATTTTTACAGAGTTCAGTTTAAAGACTTTTTAAAGATTCTCCTTGGTCGACTGAGAAGTTTATCTTTATATGTATATTAAGTAGTTGAGCTGCTAATTCTAATTACTCTTTATTAGGATCTATTCGATCAATTGCTCAATCGTTTTATTATGAAATTAGTTTATTTTTGATATTATTTTCTCTAATTTTATGAATTGAGAGATTTTTTTTTAAAAGATTTTTATTTTATGTAAGAATAATTTAATTTTTTGAAATTTTGTATGTTTATTATATTTGATATTTTTAATTAGAGTATTAGTTAACACGTTGGTCGCCACGAGACCCAGAAATGGGTGACAGGACTTTTCACAAAGAACTAAAATAATTAATTTCGTAGGTGAGGTGGTAGTGCAAAGAAATCTACATAGTATAAGTGAATTCGTCGAGAATAAACAATTAAATACTAGTGCAAGTATTAAATTATGTATACTTTGAACTCGATAGAAATTTTCACGAGTTTCAATCTGGTCGTCAACGTATTAAAGATAATCTAATCTTGCAATTCAGACAAGGTGACCTAGGTAAACTTAGACCATTATTCAAGTTCAGATTCGACTTTCCAGACAACGAACCCCTGCGTGAATAAACTTAATAAGTCCCAGCGAGACGTATTTCAAGTAGTGGAACAAATTCACCTTTTGGAACGTTTTCAAATTCCGATACCTCGACGTGTCGTTGAAGGAGGGGTACCAAACACCTGACCAATCGTTGTCCGTCGTCACGACTTGGTACCCGGTGTTAATCAAAATTTGCAACAAGATCTTCGGCGCGGCTGCGGAGAACTTCCATTTGAGAAGTTTGATGAAATCCTTGGGCAACTTTTTCCCGCAACCGCGATCGTGGCTATGAAAGAGAACGTACGGTGGTACGTGGTGAAAGAGGCTCTTTCTCATACACGACGACACGTCGTCCAAGAGCTTATCGCCGTGTGCTCGCTCGTCGAAGATAGTTTCGATGCGATTCCGCGGATGGAATGCGTTCACGCCAACGTCGTTTTTGTTCCTCGTTAATCTCGACGGTCGTTGGCGCCGCGGCTCCAAGTTCGCGGAATGGACGACGTTGTCACGCAACGTAGCCGTTGGACGATTAGGCGAGTCGCTTTTAGGACGGAGGAGAGCCTTCTCGGTGAGCACCTCGTAGACCAGCCATTCCTCGTCGATGTCGAGGTTAATTATTCCACCTGGCGTGCTCGTCGCGGCGCATTGGTTGGCGATGTTTTCGAATTTGCATGGATCAGGATGGCCGAGGTCAGCCTGCATCGCGATATCGAACCACTTGGGAATTTCACGGTCATTATTGCTTCTGTACGCGCACAGAAAATTTTAAGCTGGTTGGTCGAATCGCTGGACTGAACATGAAGTTGTTTACGGAACTCGTCTCGATTCGCGTAGTCGATTATATTAGACATTAGATGTTCGATGTTAATTTCTTTCATAGAGAACACGTGTTAGTTAGATCGTACAATGTGAAGTGTATCTTTTTTGACTGTCCTAAATACTTAGAATTCCGTATTAAGGTCGATTCAGACTATACGACACGGACCGTCACGTTCCGGCAACGACACGTACCGGCACCGACTTGACAAAACATTAAAATACGCGTTTTAATGGAACTATTCACACTATTTCCGTTGACGGCACGTTCAGGTCGGTGTCTGTTAAGTGTGAATAGTTTCATTAAAACGCGTGTTTTAATGTTTTTGTCGTGTCGATGCCGGTACGTGTCGTTGCCGGAACGTGACGGTCCGTGTCGTATAGTCTGAATCGACCTTTAAAGCTCAAATTAAACCTACTTTACCCGAAAACTTCAATAAAATGCAAAAATGCAACAAAAGTATGGATAATTTGAACATTTCCACCTCGATATCAACTTCCATCTCAAGATTCTATCGTTAGACAGCCCTGTGCATCACGAATTGTACCTAAAACGAGTAAAATCGCAACGCGTGGAAAGAACCATGAGCATCGAGCACGAGAAGACGCTAGGCCACGCTCGAATCGTCCACGATTAGATACGAGGAGAAAAGCAGCCGGCGTTAGATCAGTTTCTGTTCACCTATTTCCTATCGGCTCGCAAACAATGCCGCGATTGATTCGAGGGCTTTCCGCATTTACGTGCTATGCCGGCGTTTATCTCGCCGGGCAGAGCACTTGAACGCGGTAAACACACGAGCGGACACGCGGATGGTTTATGCGCGTAATACGGACACGCGCGTGCATACCTATGCCGATGCAAGTATTGCTGCACTTGCGCGCCGAGAGGATAGCGCGAGTAAGGGAGCATTCGCACTGCAGTGTTCCGATGCGAAACGCAGTTGAAACTCTTGAGGAGAGGTGGGATTTTAACGGGTCCACTTGTGGAAGATATATTCAGTTTAGAAATGATTTCTGTGCCTTTATATTCATAGTAGATGAAGTATCTGTACGTAAAGAATTATTATAATATAAGCTTCTTTATAAATATATAAAAGATAGCTTTAGAAAGGAACATTCGAGTCCCTCTGATCACGTTTTAGCCATGTTTCTTTTAGTAATCTGAGTATGTAGAGTAGATTAGGTAAGAAATTAATGTCAGTTGTTGAGCTCAAATTTCACGAACACTACCTATATTAGAGTAATTCCTTTCCCTACCAAAATTAATAGCCAAGTCTACAAACTAAGCCTTCTTTAAGACACACGAACTCGAACTTTTTCTATCGAAGAGATATGAAAATCGATTCGGGAAAAATCCCATTGGCGACGACCGAGACCCCTAACGGTGCACGACGATTGTCGCTTACGTTTATTACGATTCGTGTGTCGGCATCCCGCGGCGATATAAACGTGGCCTAAAAAGCCCCCGTTGGACTCGCGTCTCGCTAGTTGATCAGCAAATACGCCTATCGTTCGCTTCTACCTCGTGTCCGGGGTCTAATGGCGATGTAGCTCGATGCTAATTTGATTCCCGTGTAGCGCAATCACGGCCCTGATTGTCGATGTTACGCGCATCACGCGCATTCCTCCGTGTGCGCTAGTCGCGTTTTCCATCTTGCACGATTAATTGTCGGTCGTGCGTGGCCGGCGTTGGCTCTCGATCGGTCGGGCCAGGCCTTCGTCGCTATTCGCCGCGCGGAATGCAACGTTCCTGGGTCTCTAATCTGAGCGTATACAATGCCCGGACACACCGTGCGCCGGGGGAGAGCTCCGAGCGGTGTACAGAATGTAATACGCGCGATACCAGATATAACGCGCATTTACATACACGATCTGCGCGCAATCCACGAGATCGAGCGGCTTCGCTCTTCCGGCAACGCGTTCACTTTCCCTACGTCTCGCTGCCGGGTACCACAGCCACGGGCTAAGGTCACAGGTGTCGAGAAACGGTTCGTTTCACCTGATCGTTTAGGTCTAATTTAGATTAGGCGATCTACCCGCGAATTTTCGGAGGTTACATGCAGTCGGTATTTAAGGGGTTTGGGACATCAAAAAATGAAAAAAAAATTACTTTTTTTTTTTAATTTAAGCGATTCTGAACAATTTTGCACAAAGAAAATTGAATTTGAAGCACTAGAAGTAGTAAACAAAATTTTTTGAAAATTTTTTTTTTTCACAAAATTTCTTTTTTCCTCACAAAAAAAGTTCGACGACACGAACTTAGTCAAAAGAACGCGATAAAACTGTAAAAAATGTAAGAAAATACAACTGATAAACTTCTCGAAGCAAAAACAATGGCACAGTCAAATTTGCGGAATTTTTTTTATCACTTCCAGTGCTACAAATTCAATTTTCATTGCGTAACATTGTTCAGAATCAAAAATTAGGAACTAAAAAAAAATTACAAAAAAGTTGTTTTTTTTTTTTTTTTTTTTTCATATTTTAATGTTCCAAGCCCCTTAAAGTGGGGTTGGTACAAAGCTTTCACGTGGACGTATGAGCCGTTCACTGAACAAATGGACTAACTCCACTAATTGAACAAAATGAGAGTATCAAAGCACCTGATATAGTCATAACTTCTTATATTTATAACTTTCCTGAAAGGAAAGAATTTTTCTCAAGATTTATTTTAATTTATATTATAAAGGGAATTTTAAAAACAAGGTGTATTATTTCATCGCATGTCTCAATATTTCGTTTTATGGAGTTAATCGATTTGTGCAATGAACGGCTCATATATGTATTAGACCTAAAATCGCCTCATCTGAACTAGGCCTTAATAACTATGTCGTTCAAAATTAGTCTTCAACTCCTCGACGACCACGAGCGTATTAGTACGTTCGTCGATGGGTTAGGTTTGTATTAGGGTCCTTGTTTTATAGACTAGTTTCGAGACAATTGTTATAATTCTTCTGGTGCCAAAGCATTCGACATAAATTCTATCGCGACGCGGTAGTCGAAATCCATGATAACTGCCTTGTTCGATTTATTATGAATGTGATTATAGCGTGAATTAGGGAAAAAGAGGTTGAAACGAAATTAACAAAAAGGGGACAACGTAATGTGTTATCAGAAATTGATGTGAGGTGAGGTGTTATCAGAAATTCTTCATAAAGAAAGAAATTCTTCATTTTCCATTTTCCATTTTTCATTTTCTTCCTTGTTATTAGCATAATGCTAAAGCATGAACGCAGCCTTGATGGAGGCCGCGCAGCGACGAACAAAACGGTTTACGAAAATAACCAGACCGAAGTTCTTCGGCACCGTTGTTCGCAAGGGCAAAACGAACGCAAACGTTTCGAAACGATGCGATTCCCAGGACAAAGCAAACGAGGACACGGTTCGATACGTTTCGTGGTCGAAGTCTGTCACCAGTCTGGACTGTCCGGAGAGTCGTACCGTTACCAGCGGTCTGGACCACACTGTATTCGCGCCTCGCGTGATACGCTTTTTACGTCGCCCTGGTAAATTGGTGGACGCGACTGCAAACGGTACTTCATTGTTCTTCCCTCGTCCAGTTTGTTCCTGCTTTTTTAGGCTCTCGTTGGTCGAAGCATCGCGGTAAACGTTATTTCTGGTAACTTCGCGTTCGACATACGCCCCACGGTGACAATACGACACGCTGCGATTGTACAGACGCTGGAACATGTGCGTGGTCGCGGCTCCGTACGCTTTCACGGTCCACGTAGCAAGCATAATGTATCGCGAATTCCGCCGTGCGACTTTTCAAACAGAAATCTGCCATTAAAGATCAATTGCGGTGGGGCTGCGTATTCGAGAAGTTTGGACTTATCTTACGCTACTATGCAATGTTTGCGGATGACATTTTTCGATCTGTTTATTATTCTGTTCGAGGAGCAGAATACTAAACCTTTTCAACTCTTTGCAGTCCAGACTTTCAATTTCAGTACAGTTCTGTCAAATCTTACTCGACATGGGATAACTAAGAGTTAACCCACCGAATAGTACAATCTTTAGGGATGTGATTTTAATGTATTAACTCTCTATAGGTCTGTGTAACTTTCAGGTCACGTGATAATATATCGACAGTTTACCAAATAAGTTTAGTTTTTTCAGAATATAACGTATACGTTTTACATGAGCCATTCATTGCACAAATCGATTAACTCCATAAAACAAAAAGTTAAGAAATGCGATGAAATAGTGTACAATGCTTTTTAAAATTCCCTTTATAATATAAATTCAAATAAATATTGAAATATTAATTTTCCTTTCAGGTGTGGAATTAGTAGTGTGTAATTCAAGTGCAGTTAATCGATTTGTATACAATGTTTCTGGTAACCAATAACAGTATTGAAGACGGTTGGCAGCATCATCATTCAGAAATATCAAAGTAAATGCCTTGAAAGTTGCTTGCAGAAAAAAAACATCCGGCCAATAGAGGGTTAAGGTTTCCAAAAAGATTTTTCATCCGTGCAGGTGTGAATTTCATTTTGCTCGATACGCGGTCTCATCGACACGGACAAGGATCGATCAACACCGTAGAAAATTCGCGGTAGGTTGTGAAAGACGAATGCTCGACGAATCGAGATTTCATGGTTACACCGTAATGCGGTTATGCAAGCAGGTTTCTTAAGCGGTTGAGAAAAGCTACACTCGATGAGACATATATTACAGTATACAATCGGGAAAACTGCGTGCTCCGAGTCAATTCCAGGGATTCCGTTTCGGGATTGTGTAATCAGTTGGCCGAGTGAATTGGTTTATCGTTGTCCGGTTTCGCGTGAATTTTCCATCGTCGATTTCACTCGCGCTGATTTTGTATGCCGGCGAATAGAATGCACGCTATTCGTTATTTCGTAGGCCATGGATGCTTAGACAAATTT